TGTTTCTATATGATCCCTCAAGCAAACAACGTCCAAATTATTAAAGATTTTTTATCATAAACTTGTCACATAATACCTAAATATTGACAAAAAATAATTTTGATAACTTTTAAACAAAATTTGAATAGCTTTTGACAAAAAATTGTGTAAGATGGGTAACTTTTGAACAAAATTTGGATAGTTTATGATCAAAACTGTGTAATTTAGGTAGTTATTTAATCAAAATTTGAATAAAAATTTAGTCAAGAGTTATCCAAATTATTTTTTGGTTCATATTTAAGTATCACGTGACAAATTTATGATAAAAAAATTGTTAGTAATCTAGACGTTGTTTGCTTGAGGGGCCATATAAAAATATATTCAATATTTTAATGACCAAAATGACGCAATTAAAATATTAAGGACCAAAATAAGACAAACACCATACTTTAGGGACCTCTAATTCAATTAACCTTTATTATTATTGTATATTGAAAATTGTAATACATGAATTTGTGAAACTTGTAGTTGGTCGAATATGTATTTGGTAAAATTGCGATTCTTATATCTTGTATGGTTTGGGTGTGGCGGACTTAAATTGCCTTCGAGAATTGCCGTAGAATATTAAAAGTTAGTCTAGTCTAATGTGAGTGAAATGATTGCCTAACACTTATAATAAGTTATTTTTTTGAGAGGTCAATCATTATTGTTCATGTAGGTTCGAGGTTGAGGTATACCTTTATTAAGGAGGTTTCGTCAATGCCATATGAGACGGTATACGTCTTTTCTAAACTGGTTTGTGATGTGACCCTGCAGGGAATGATTAAGATGGTTGGGTTTGTGTCGGATGAACGAGATAGGATCATTGTGTAGATTCTTGAAATGCAACCAATATGCATGATATATATGATAAAATTGGAATGTTATTGAATTCATTGATTCTCTAATCTTTAAATGTTTATTCATGTCATTGATTTACTACATTACGTACACTTGAGAACATTACAATTGTCATTGTTTACCTTTCAAAAAGATTTAAATGCTATATTCCAAAAGAGACTTACCTTCTTTAAACTGTTTTAAACATTGTCTGGATTTGAGAGGGATTCTGTACAGGCGTTTGCTCACCCCTACACGTTGCACATTTATAGATTTCGGCATGGAGGAGAATGTTGAGATAGATGAACAGCTTGACTATGAACCAGTGGAAAATCAAGATATGGATCCCGTCTTAGACGAGTAGAATTGTTTTATTAATGGTTTAGAATTTGAGGAATTATTATGAAACAATGTTTTCATTAAATTTAATTATTTCACTGCTAATGATAGTTAATTGTAAGTTTGGAGAAATTACAATATTTTATTATCTTAGTACCTAGTATTTATTTGATGTATGGATAGTTTATGTTTGAAATGATTATTTTTAGCTGCTCTCATGATTGAATGATTTGTAGATAGGAATGTCTTCCACGGTGAATTTTGGGTCATTACACTAATTCTCAATAAGCTAAGTTATTTTGCTGTTTGGATCACTTCAAAGACCATGACTCAAGAGTTTCTTTGGTCACTTGAACATGGGTCTCCTGCAACCATGGTTTGATCTTTAGCACGGGAATTACTAGGCCAACCTTGTTCTCATCATGTTGTGAAAGGTATTGGAGCACCTACTCTGCCATTCAATCCCATGAAAAGGAATAAAATGACAACACAACGTGCAGAAGATTTGTTTTTTTATGGACAACACTCTACATCTCATATCGAGGAGTCGTCAAAATTACATTGAAGGAGATACCAGGCTATGGGACATTGGTGGAAATGTATTTGAATCATTGAAGGATGATGGCTTACTTCAAATGCAAGTCTTGCACTTGATGAGCCAGATCACATATCAGAGTTGTGATGTTCACAAATGAAAGGGATGGAATAACAAAATGTCTGGATAAGATTAGAGAATTTTTTTTTTGATAAAGACTTATAGGATGATGAACTTATGAGAGGGCTCTTTTCCTTTTGTTTTTGCATGGAAATGATGTCTTTTTTTGGTTGAAAACATGATGGAAACTACATGAGTATCATGTAGGAATAATTAGTTATTATTAATTATTTCCAATAGAATTGATGTCACTTCATAATTATTACAAAAAAATACAATAATAGAAAATTTTATATCATAGACATATCCAGACCGTAATGATTGTACACTGCTTTTAGGTTTATAATATCACGTATCCATAGCTTACCATATATACAAATCATGGATACGTGCTTGCGCTTCAAAGAAAATAGATAAGCCATATGGTATTTGATAAAGTTCCAAACAAGTAAATCATATTGAATAAACAAAGAAATGCGAAAGGAATCTATCAATCTTTTAACAAAACAGGGTGTGTTCGGAACAACAAGGACAGAGTAGGCATATAAAACAACATGTTGATGAAAGAATATAACTCTGCACATATCAAGGGTCTTACCTCAAAAAGGAAAGCAGCAAACCAACACAAGTGCTCAGCAACCAGGCAATAAATCCATACTGAAGAAAAATGGGAAGTTAACACAAATATCAAGGAATAACACCTTCATCAATCCAATAGATGTCCCAACAACTGAAATACATACAACTGATACAAACATGAAAGTATAAATTGTTAGAGAGTTTAGCTTATTACTAATATTAGTATTAGAGGTAGTTTCATCATTCTCTTTAGTTTATGTTGCCCGACTATATAAAGGAGTTTCCATTGTGCATCTTACTTTTATTATGTTTTGACAAATTAGTGTAGCCATAATATATTTTCTCTTATTCTCTCTTCTTTGTTTTGATCAATATTATCATGATATCAGAGCATGCCCTACTATATAAAGGGGCTTCCATTGTGTATCTTATTTTTATTATGTTCTGACAAATTATTGTAGCCCTAATATATTTTCTCTTTTTCTCTCTTCTATCTTCTTTGTTTTGATCAATATTATCACAAACGTAGACCTAAAAAAACTAATGCACACTCCGCAATGCATGGCTTTTGAAGATGTCGTAAGAATTAGGTCAATCCAAATAGTCAAAAGAAGTAGATGGGGGCAAAAGACAAAAGAGCTAGTAACAAATTCAGGACCAAGATTTGTGTGTCACAACATAGTCCCAACAAAATTTAGTACTGCAACAAAATACATACGTCAACATTTTTCAAGGAAAATCCTGATAATGATTTGTGATAATATCCTTTGATTGTGACCGGGTAACATTTCCATGGATAAGACAATATACCTTAGTAATTGATGTTTTTTCGTACGTGACTGATAAAAAAGTTATGGGTCTATTTGAAACTGGCTTTTTTAGATGAAAAGCTACGGTTGAAAAGTTTTGTAAAAAAATCAAAGTTAAAAAAAACCTCCAAAACTGTTTTCTGAAAAAGTCTATTTAGAGCAACTTTCTAGCTTTTTTGGCTTTTATGTCAAAATAAAAAAAATAAGTACATGTATGTATAGATTATGCATAATAGTTTCTAAAATATGAATTTCAAATTTGTTTACATCACTAATAATATTTTATGAATATAACAAATTTAAAAAGTTATGTAGGACCCACGACAAAACTCCAAAAAAAATGCTCATAAAATCAGCTTTTTGAATCAACCAAAATAAGCCTTTTGGGGTCCAAAAAAAGCTGATATATAAGTTTGTAAAAAAGCTAAGGTCCAAACGGACCTGCTTTATTTTACTCCAAAGCCCCATAAAAGCTACCTATTTAAGCTAGCTCCAAACAGGCCCAATTATCCACTTCCTACAAGCTTGACCATTCAATACTCAAATTTCTCACTAGCTATCTATGAATGGGAGAATCAACCTAGGATGGTACAACTTAAGCAACTAATGGAAAAATTAAGAACAAACTGCAGACACGAGGTTCATACATTACGACAAAGACAGGTATTTTGGTTTTTGTGAAAAGTATGAAAGCTAGTGATACAACCTTCAATCAAAGTGGAAAAAGATCCTGCAACCAATAAGAACGAAAAATCCTCAAAATGGGGATAGCTTTCCAGCTGCATCTGTGTGGGCCTCCTATGCTCTATCCAATGTGGCGTTCTATTTAAGGGAGTATCACTAGAGGTGACCAAAGATCAAAATATCGTTTCGAAATGGTCGAAACATCCGAAATGTTTCCGTTTCCAAGGAAACCGAAACGAATTAGTGCTGGAATCGAAATTCTAATATTTCGAGGTATTCCATAATATTTCAAAATGTTATGTTATATTTCAATGCATTTGCACAATTATTTTGAATATTTCTAGATATTTTAAGATATTTTGATCAATGTTTTGAAAAAATAATTCTTAAATTTTTATTTTTTTTCATTTTGTTTTCGAAACGGGTCGAAACGTTTCCAAAATATGTCGAAACGTTTCCGTTTTCTAGGTGACCAGAATAATGCACCGAAACGAAATTTTGATCCTTGGAGGTGACTAGCTAAACATTACAAAAGTACGCTGGCAAATGGTTATGTGGTTAACATGGCTGATCAAACCCAAACATTGCTATATATGGAAGACTAAACCTGAAAGACTGGATCTTCTGAACTATTCTCCAGATTTGTCCAACTTATGATCTCGGTATTCCCCTTCTAGGAATTGTTAAGCCTTGTCATATTCTTTAGACAACAATATATAAAATGTTTGGAATCAGGTTTAAGAGCAACCACATTTGGTGTTTAATGGCACATTAAAGGCAACTAGCCGGATGAGTTTAGGATTTCCAAGGGCTCAACTGTGTATCTCTTTAAGGGTCAAGCCTATCACATTTCTCTTTTTTCTGCTGTTAAACCTATACAAGCAATAACATGGAAATCCATGTCAGTCGCTTTTGAGGTGAAACCAACCCAACAAAAACATGCTTTAATAATGAAACGGCCAAGGACAAACAACACTGAAAACAAAACTGGAAATTATAAGTTCGCCATCATTACATTTTTAATGTAACCTACTAATCAGAAATCAAGGTAATACCCACTAGAAACATATGATGTGAAAAACAATTTTCAATCATCTCACATTAAATCAAAATCAAAACTACTAAGTCGTGTACCTTCCGGGGTTTTGAAGTCAAGGTCATGTCTTCAGCTTGAAGAGACTGAAGGAAAGCCATGATTGAACAGACAACTGGAGATAAAAGCAGCACTGCAAAACCAAATTCAAACTGCAAACAACATAATACCAAAATTTTTATGTCAGCATCCGTAAAGGAGTACATAACCAAAGTCAATATAATGTTCATATTAATTGGTGCCTAGGGCATCTTCTTTTTTTTTTTTTTTTTTTAATAAGATTGATGCCTATTTTACCTGCTGGTGCATGGCATTTATAATTTTTATTGTTTTTGGGCGGAAAACAGCAACGACGATGGTTTCGATGATAAAGATAAAACTGAAGAGAACCCATGCTCTCTCTGGAGTACCCACTATGTGGTGCAATACAAATCTAAAAAATTGAAGCCACCTTTCTAGCCCTCGAAGCCTAAGTTCTTCTGATAGTGAAACTTGATTAGGCAATGCATTGCCAACGCTATTTGAGTCAGCGATAGTTATAGCAGTATCGTCGTGATGATCTGCGTCCAAGCTGCTCCTCTGCAGTAATGCAAGTATCGTTGGATCCAATCCATTCTCCTTCAACATAACAGCGAAATTAGGATCTAAGCCTTTATCTTTCAGTAAGCTAGTCAGTTCAAGATCCCCTTGTCTTCCTCTCCTCTTCAACAAAGATGTAATCCTTGGGTCATACATCTTCTCCTGGAATGCAAGAGCTAAATTCAAGTCTAGTGCTTGTTGATTTGCAGAAGTTGAAGCACTAGATTCACAACCTTGGCTTTCAAGCCCACTACTAGAACAGACTACCAAAGAGCCATTGTGGTCAAAATTTCTATCAGCATATGAAGTTCCTACTTCGGCTTCTTGAATTATTGAGCGACAGGAACTACTATGTAATGCTGTACTTGGCCTTCCACTATCTATGCTCTTGTCACTATTAATGCCCTCGACATTATTCCAGCTATTAGCATCACCAATGCAATGTGTTGTACCATTCCCAAGGTGACCAACCTCAGCACTACTACTTCGTTTCACACTTGAACCACAGACTTCAGAAGAGCTAGATGAACTGTTTTGCCCTTTTCTGCGGAAACCCTCTCTCAAGCGAATTACAGTACTCTGTAAGGCATCTCTCCTTGCAGCTAGTGGATTCGAAACTGATAAATGGCGGGAAACAGCAGCACCTAACAGAACAGATGCTACGACTGCATAACTAATGCAATGTCCCAAATACCTGTAAAGACAAAAGCATGCAAGGATTAACAAATTAATCATTTATTATTTGAGGAGGAGGAGGAAAGTAGCACATCGGTTCACAAGGCGCGGAACAAACCAGTAGTGAACTCCAAAGCAAATGAGGAAGACTCGAGACATGCCAGCAACAAAAAGTGCAGCAACACGACTTCTAAGAAGCTTAAACCCATATAAGCAGGCCCCCATGTTCCAATCTAAATGGACAAATTAACGTGATAATCGCCGCGATATTTGTAAAATCACCATAGATGGCTGTGCAAAAAAACAAATAAATACGCAAGTGTTAATGACATACCAAGAATAATTACAGCAGCTGATGTGATAGCACCGAGCCAATGTGCATCCTTCGCTGTCACACCATACAAGACGGAATACACAATAAGTACCCCAAGGGAGCCAAGATAGAGGAGCCCTAGATGTGAAGCCCTGCAGGAACAAAATTAGATCACAATGCTACAGATGATGAAGCTAAGTTCTAGACTATAAGGGAAGTACAACATATAAACAGAAAGAATAAATGCATGGCAATTCCTAAAGCAAGCTTAAAAGCATCCAATCTCCAACACAACTTTTCCACTTCATATTTGGATGTATATATTTTATAAAAACATAAATATATGCATATACTAGCAGCAACCCCAACCAATGCACAGAGTTTATAACCCTCCCGAATTCTTATAAATTTTTCTACCCATCACTTGGGATATTGATAAGAAGTACAGGAAATTAGGGTAATACAAATAATTTTTTTCAAGAAAAATTAAATAAGTGGTAGTTAATTTGTGGGGTGAAGGGTGGTTACATCACATGTAACATGAGTTGGAATGTGATAGGATAAAACTTGTGTTGTACTTAATTAAATAAAAATTCTAAGAAAAAAGAAAGAGAGTGAAGGCTTCCCAAGCCCTCTCTCCCCTAAATTGATTGAAATAATTCACATTATAGATTTTAAGGGAGAAAGAAGAAAGCACACACAAAATCCGTCACGGCACACCAAATCCTCGTTAGAGGTGACTTCAAACCAAAAGTAATCATGCAACAAAGGAACAAGCATTCCACTCCAGTGCATGAAACAAGAAGGGCTTGCCTTCTAGATTGTCGAGGATATAACTCATTGGGATCTGGCGGTTCCGGTAAGCAGGCCACAGGACCCACTTCAATACAATCCGAATATGCAAATTTGTAGGCCTTCCGCACATATTCATCTACATCTAAGCCATTCCCTGTTCACCATGAATTTCCAAAGCAGAGAATAAGAAGAGGATAACAAGAAGACAACAATATCCTATTAAAGCAACTACAATAACTGGCACCAACAAGACTGCCTGTGGAATGTAAGCTATTTATCAGTAGCAATCATATCTCCCTAATTCTTTGACAAGTAGAGATTCGCATTTGCCTCCCTTTGATCGTGCTTTAAGAAAGGAATAGAAATAAAAGCAGAAAAACTGCAATTACCATTGAAGACCATTCTGCAAATAAAGAGCATATTAATTGCCAGAGCAATTGCTGACACGCCAAAGAAAAAGCCTGAAGGTGAATAACGCTCTGAGGCACTTGCACCAGCTGTGACATAGACAGCACAGAGTTCATATGCACAAAGCAAGGCAACAGCCAGAAGAAGAAGAACAGCAACAGCCCCTGTGCAAGAAATGATGCAATGAATAAATATTGGAATGAAGAAAAGGAAGGGACGTTCAATTAGTAAAAAAGCCCAAGCTGACTTTCAGTACAAGTGTGCAGACTATATTACAATCCCAGCCTTTGCCGAATAACCAACAGAACTTGTACAACAACTACGAGCCCATTTTGAACTGTTCAAAGAAAAACTTATTTTCATTTTCAAATAACTCAAATTCCACATTAGTTCATTCATTTTTTTCGTCACCTTGGTGGGTGTCACAGGTGTCAATTTCACCCGCGAATTTTCGTCACTGTGATGGCACCAAATCTATGCTTAGTCTCAGTCATCCCATTCAAGAAGTTCTCTCAGACATTTTATCAAACACAAAACAGGAAACACATAGATCACTGAACAGTGTCCCAACCTGTACTTCTCAACAAGTACAAGGAGTCTGATCAAGGTTACTACTTACAAAACGTGCACCCTTTCCCATTTGCCCTAGGATCCTACTTATAGTCTACACTGGCAGTGACAACCTAACTGCCTAGGCAATGCTGGCACCAACCAGTCTTGGCCAACTAGGCCAGTTGACATCCCCCACTGCTAGGAAATGTTGTCACAATTCAGAACATATCACACGTCTGTGATGGTTATCCAACAAACCACCAGGCTTTCTTATCCAATAAACTGCAATCCAAATATGCCCAGAGCAGTTGTGGCCTGATAACCACATGAAACTGCACTAGCTGCTTTGTCTGGTCATACTAGTGCCCACTTGTGTGCCCAGAATGTTGCCTCCGTTTGTGCAACGTGCAAGCCGTGCCCAAGCCCATGACTTGGTCTTCAAAACATAAAAATATTTATGACACTGCCACTGTCACATCTGCCTTAGCATTTCTGAATGACCAGCTTACCAATTGGTCCCTCGGCTAGGCCAATGTGCACGGTCCAACAACCGGATTTGCCAATCACCAACCAAAGTGTCTCAAACCACTTAAACACCAACGCATCCAAGAATTTAAGAAGTCGTCACGCTCATTTGGGTTGCTTAGCCAAGCACACCCGTCCCTTGGACTTGGCATGGAGCGCCATTAGGCAAGCCACCCACATGGCTTGGCCATGCCAACTCTAAGGGGCTAACAGTGGGTGTATAATAGTATAAATGAAGTGGTGCTGGTGCTAGTTCAGGCGGGTGGGGGTAGTTCAGGCAGGTTCAATGGTGGAGCAAAGTCATTGGGTTAAAAAATGTTTTCCAAGGATAAAATACGTATCCTCAATCATAACCTAACAAAGGATACCTTGTGAAGTACAGCCACAAACCACAAGGGAGTGCAGTGCAACTTTCTGAAACCATGAGGACACCCCCTTGAAATTAAAAATCTATAAGTGTGTTACTTTAGTTTTCTCCTAAATTCATTTAATAAGAAAAAGTCAACGTATCGCTTTGTTATGAGCCCAGGTTTTAAAAACCATATTATGATATCCAAAACTAGAGAAACATGTGTACAGGCCTCATTCAAACTATTATGTTTCAACTACTGAAATCCTATCTTGTGAAGGTATCAATGGGCATTGGGCTTAGAGAAAGTGAATTATATGCAATGGGTACCTAACACAATTTCTGCTCTCCGATGCTCTGGTACTAGTCCTTTTGCATCATCACCTCATCGGCTAAAATTAGAAGACTTAAGCAAGGCCCGTCGGACTGCTTGGGGTGGGTTTGCCAAGTCTTTTAAACCCATTTCGTAGACTTCAAAACTTCTATTTACATTTTTATCTACATCGTGGAGTGCTAGATGGTTGCTTTTGACTTATATAACATTATGTGCCTTTAATTTAGAAATTAATAGCGCCAATAAAAGCTACCAAGTGCATTTAGGTGTCATTTCAAATTATTTCCAAGTACGAAAATGCAATTATAACAAAAAACTTACTTTATTTACTTTTGTGGAAAGAAAAAAAGACGGATCAGTGCATTAGACTTATGCCACTGCAAGGCTTAGGAGGGTTCAAATGTACATCCTTACCTTGCATGTGAAGAGGTTGGTTCCACAACTCGAACACTTGTAACTCATTGTTTAAATAGATCGATTTTGTTGAAAAATGCAGAATATGACAATAAATCCAGCTTACTAAATGTGAAATATTTAATTACTCGAATGTATCAATAGAATCATTTGATTCTTTCAACTAATGATTCGAAACAAAATCAATTTTTTGGGCACAATTAGAATTTGTATTCTCAAATGATATCAAAGGGATTTGCCGTCATTGTGGAAATTCTATTTTCTCTACGATTAATATTTTTCTCTCTTGTGAAAGCTACAATGCAATATCTGTATTCGATACATAGCAGCTACGGATATGCGTCCGATATGGCGGAAAATTATCGGATATGTACCATACATATCCAATAATTCATAAAATAAATTTTGATTTCAGATACGCTTGCGATATGCATGGGATACACGTAGG